ACAGGCTCGACCCTGGCTGACGTGTAAACGTAGCCAGGTGACGACCCGTGCTAGCCTCTGTGCAGTGCATGACTCGCTGACGAGCAGGGGTGAACTGGTGGACTCCCACATCCTGTAGGTCAGCACCACTCACCAAGTTCGTAGAGAACGAGGGGAGGTAGAGACCAGACAGGGTGCTAGAGGGAGCCGCCGGACACGGGAGGACTGTGGAGAAGCGAGACAGGACAGGACCCCCAGAGGGGTCAGCCAGGGAAACCGCAACAGGCCGACTAAGCGGCGTGAGTGTGGTACGGTCCCGAAAGAAAGAGCGAGACGCTCCAGAGTCAAGAGTAAAGGTGAGGGAGGCCGAAGCCGACGCAGTATCTGAGAGCGCAGACGCACTAGTACCTGAGAGAGCAGCCTCACCAGCACCTGAGAGCACAGACGCACTGGCACCTAGAGCAGAAGCCTCACCGGCACCTAGAGCAGCAGTACCAATGCCCGGGTCGGGCGGGAAACACCGGTAACAGTCACCCTCATCACTAATGGTTACAGCATACATGGCAGCAAGGATAGCATCAGAATCAAGATCAAAGATAGCTACACCAGCCGTAGACAGCTCTCCCCAGCGGGGGATCTCCGCGGCCTCCGGGAACTGCTGGCGCCAAGCGTCCGTTAGGCGGCCAAAGCAGCGCTGGGCGTGGTGGGTGCCCCCACACTGCTCTCCAGCGCGGTCGCCAGTGCGGAGAACGTAGGTGCAGGGACCAAAACCCCCACCGCGCTGACGCTGCGTGTACCACTGACGGAGCTGCTGAGGGGTGGGGACGTCGCGAGAACGCTGCTGCTGCTGCTGGCGCTGACCTCCCCCAGTGCCGCTCCGCTGTGAAGTTCCACTCCTACCACCTCCACCTCCACCACCCCCGCCTCCACCTCCACCTCCCCCGCCTCCGCCTCCACCGCCGCCACCTCCGCCACCTCCGCTACCACCGCCACCGCCGCCGCCACCCCCGCTTCCACTGCCGCCACTAGCACCCCCACCCCCGCTACCACCTCCACCGCCACTCCCACTCCCTCCGCCGCCTCCACCTCCACCTCCACCGCCCCCACTGGCCCCACCCGCTCCCTTGCCCCCTTTGCCCTTGCCAGAGCGGCGTCTCCCGCTAGGGGCAGACGCCGCACCGACCGACTCAAGACCAACGAGGTCGGCCGCAGCGGCAGAGGCGACAGAGGGCAGGAGAGGGGAAGGAGAATAACCCTCAAAGATGGGGGCGCGGGGGTCACCTCGAGAGGCTCCTACAGCAACTATGCTCTTCTCTGCTGCAAGGAGGGCCTTCTCGAGGCTGTCGACTGTGAGGGTGGTGGGACAGACCGCGAGGAAGTGGTCCCGGACTACACGAAGGGAGTTAGGGAGGCGAGTGACTAGGAAGTAGAGAGTGATGTACATGGGGGGGGGGGTTCTTGGCGCAGAAGTCAGCAGGAAGCGCAGCGCGCTAGCGAGTGTCACTAGTGCGGAGGTGCGTGATGAGATCAGCGACAGTGGGAAAGGCGGCAAGGTCAGGGAAGAGGAAGGGGAGCATGAGGCGGCTCAGTGCAGCAGTGGCAGGGGAGGAGTAGCGCGCAACTACAGCGTCGTACAAGGTCTGAGCACTCTTGTACTGGCTAAAGTGCGCGCGCTCAGCGGTAGGCAGGTGGCGACGCACAGCAAGACGTGCAGCAGCATCGCGCGTGGCCCACTGAGAGCGAACAGTGGCGTCAGCATCAGCAGCAGGGGCAGGGACGGCGCCAGAGGTGAGGTCAAAGAGAGACAGACTGTCGGCCCTGTCGCACTGTAAAAACAGCTGCAGGTCGTCGAGCCAGACCTCAAAGTCAATGGCTCGACCCTCAGCGTCAAAAGCGAGGACACTGGGTGTAGCCATGACGACGACAGTGGCGCAGTGCAAGCAGTAGGGAAAGGGTACGCAGTGACAGCAGTGCAGTGCTCACCGGGCAGGTCGGGCGGCTCGGGAGGAAGGTCGCACGGCGACACGGCCGCTAGGCTGCTGGGCGGCTCGGCTCCCGGACGGCTCGGCTGCTGCCGGGCGGCTCGGCTGCTGCTCGGCGGCTCGGCGGCTCCTGGGCGGCTCGGCTGCTGCTGGGCGGCTCGGCGGCTCCGGGCGGCTCGGCTGCTGCTGGGCGGCTCGGCGGCTCCGGGCGGCTGGGCTGCTGCTGGGCGGCTCGGCTGCTGCGGGGCGGCTCGGTGGCTCCTGGGCGGCTCGGCTGCTCCGGGCGGCTCGGCTGCTACTGGGCAGCGTAGGTAGGGCGGCCGGGCGGGCCGCAGGTAGGGCCACGGGTAGGCCGCAGGTAGGGCGGCGGGACGGCCGCAGGTAGGGCGGCGGATGGCCGCAGGTAGGGCGGCGGGGAGGCCGCAGGTAGAGCGGCGGGTGGGCCGCGACAGAGTGGCGGGGCCGCTCGAAGGAGTGGCGGGGCCGCGACGAAGTGGCGGGGCCGCGCGAAGAGGTGGCGGGGCCGCGACTGGGTGGCGGGGCCGCGTCGGAGTGGCGAGGCCGCTCGAAGGGGGGTGGCGGGGCCGCGACGGAGTGGCGGGGCCGCGACAGAGTGGCGGGGCCGCGACGAAGGGGCGGGGCCGCTCGAAGGGGTGGCGGGGCCGCTACGGAGTGGCGGGGCCGCGCGTAGGGGCAGTGGGGCCGCGACTGGGTGGCGGGGCCGCGACGGGACGGCGGGGCCGCTAGCAAGGGCGGCGGGTGGGCCGCTAAGGTAGGGCGGCGGCTGGGCCGCGAGAGTAGGGCGGCGGGGCCGCGAAGGAAAAGGGCGACTCGGAGGGTCGCTAAAAAAAAAGGCGCGCGCCTCGGGCGCGCTTCGGTGGGCCCTAAAGAACAGTCCCTAGGATGGGACCTGCTCTGATTCCATGAGAAAGAAAGAGCGAGAATGGGTGCAGTATGAAATGAAGTGAGTACAAATATGAAACCCTAATTGGGTTGTACCCCCTATGGGATACCCCACTATAGCCTACATAAAAGAGTAAGCTATAATGTTCTGACACTTAGGAGGGCGGTCGGGTGTATAGACGGCGTTGATCGTGGCCCGATGGGTCTGGCCACGAAAGCGGTTTCCCTCCCGAGAAGCTGCTCTCGCGTACTGCATTAGCACATCTGTAGACTCCGCCAGCCGTACTACTTCAAGAAATGATGCCGGTCGGCCCCTGCGAACCTCGTATTTGAGGTCGCTGATGTATTTATCTAACCGCTCAGCTTCCGACATATCATCAACTTGGTCGGCGAGGCCCATAAATGATGCCGTGTAGTCTTGGACAGAAGCCATCTGCGACCATGCACGCAGCTTCATCCGAGCTTGCTCCGAGTCGGATACGTGCTCGAAGCGATCTCGTAAGGCTGCGCCCCACTCCTTCCACGTGCGTATCGTGGTCACTCCGAAGATCGATTGTGCCACTTGATTAGTCACTGTTGAGGTCCCGTCTGCCGCATGCGTCACACCTGTCGGCGTCCCCGTTTCCAAGGTTCAGCGCCACCATTCAAGCGCTGCACCTCGAAGAAGCGAAACCGCGTAATTAATACGCGTGGCGTCGTCATTAACTCCTGCTGTAGTGAAGAAGACCTCGACCCCGAACAGCCACCCTTTTACTATAACCGTCTTGTCCGTAGGATTAAACGGGGGCGGGTTAACGGGCTTGATCTTGATCGTCGTTACTGCAACTGGCGCTGCTCCCGCTCGCTGCGTGTCCTCCTCTTCGAAGTCACGTGTGAGCGCGTCCAACGGATTGCTCACCGCTTGACTGTTGCCCTCGCCTTCGTCCTCGAGCGACACTTGACGCGCTTCACCTCGCGTCTGGCGCAGCTCGACGTTTTCTTCACACAATGTTGTCACTTCCGCCATTAATGTCCTCATGCTCTCTTGCATTTCTGCCACTTGCGCGATCATCTTGTTAGCCGCGTCCTGATCCATGTGCCTAGCGCTACGTCTGGTGGGCAGTCGGATCTCCGTGGCCTTCAGGCAAGTGAAAACACGAACTAACGGAGTCGGGCAGGATTGAATTACCAATCCCTGCGGCCAACCGTCGTGTAGTCACTAAACCAGCTTCACCCTATGCCACCAAACTACCCTTGGAAAAACGGGGTGAACTAGGAAAGTAGCTCTGATACCAGGTGTTATGAGTTGTAAAAGAGAGTGCGCAGGTAAACGAATAACGAGACTGTGATTCAATGATCTGAGAATACAATGAAGGAACACACTAATGTAGGAGCTAGCCTAGCTAGGAGGAAACCTCGGACGAACGAGGTTGGGGTGCAGGTTTGGCGATGGGAAATGCCGAAGGCGACGCGAGGAGCCTCGGCAGCGTTGAAATCAGCCGAACGTGCAAAGTCCGAAAATCGTGCTGTACGCGTAGCAGTCAACCCCGATAAGGAATTCGGGAAAATTCCTTACATCTGTAGTATCCACCCCACCGCACTGTATACCCTAGTCTTCCAAACCTTGTGCAATATGGATGAAGCTGGATTCTCGAGGTCATTCCCAAGACGGGTATATTTACGACTTTCTACGTTATTCTGCGTTATGGTATGGTTGAGTGCGTTGACGGATCGATCCTCGGCAAAACCAGAAGCAGGCTCGACAGTACCTTCATTTCCCCGCCTTCGTCGGAACATGTAGATTTCCTGTATATGCGTTGGCACCCCGTTTGACGTAGCACTCCTTTGGCTGAGAATTTCGCATACCAACCCTTTTATCTCTAGTC